TGTTGCAGCAGCAGCAGCAGCAGCTGCTGCTGCTGCTGCTGCAGCTGAATACAGACCTGAACGCAGCAGCGTCTGCTGCTGCTGCTGCTGCTTCTGTATAGAGAGCTGCTGTATAGAGACATGAAGCAGCAGAAGCAGCAGCAGCAGCAGCAGCAGCAGCAGCAGGAAAACGAATGCTGGCGGCGGTGTTTTTTAATATATGGCTTTTGAGCTGTACATACACCCGAGCTGTGCATACACCCCAGCTGTATGTATAGCTGCTGCGTTTAGGTGTATATACACCGCAGCATATGAAACATATTTGTAGTTGCACCCGAAATAAATATGGTGTTTATATAATTAAAACTTTTAAGGGTTTAGGGTTTAGGGTTTAGGGTTTAGGGAAGAGGTCAGCATACACCGCAAGCTGTACATACACCAGGAAAGCAGCATAGAAGCTGCATGTACACCCGAGATAGCAGAAACGAATCAAAAATTAATTTTTAATTACTTCTTTTATCTTTTGCTCTTCTCTATGCAACTAGAAACAAAAAAAAAACTATAATCAAAAAAAAAAAAAAAAAAAAAAAAAAAAAAAAAAAAAAAAAAAAAAAAAAAAAAAAAAAAAACATTAAAAAAAAAAAAAAAAAAAAAAAAAAAAAAAAAAAAAAAAAAAAAAAAAAAAAAAAAAAAAAAAAAAAAAAAAACACGCACACACAAAAGCTTTCTTCATTCCCTTCATTTCAGGTGTACATACACCCCGTTTCATCCGCATCACAAATTTAATACATGCAGCAACATGCATGCATGCATGCAGCAACAAGAGTGCATGCATGCAGCAGCATGCATGCATGCAGCAGCATGCACGTCAGTCTATGCTAACCAAACCCTAATTATATTATTTGTATTTCTGTCTGTAGCGCTTCCCCTCTGCTGATGCTGCTGCTGCTGCTGCTGCTGCTGCTGCTACAGGCGTCTGGTGTATATAGTAACCTCAGCAGTAGCTGCTCTGCTGCTGCTGCTGCTGCTGCTGCTGCTGCTGCTGGTGTGTGGTGTATATATTTACCTCAGCAGTAGCTG